GAAGGACAGGGACATGCTTCAGCTCTGCTGAAAGTTGTTAGTCCCAGCTGAAAACGGAGGCATCTGTCATCCAAGCAGCAGAGTCGAAGACAGCTAGCTACCTCCAGCTCTTGCTCCACACTGGCCATGGAGACAGGAGGGCTTAGCTACAGCTCCCACAAGGAACAAGTTGGATCAGTGCACACTCTGACCTTTGGATGTGTCAAAGGAAGATGCGTGCTCAGCTGTACTGGCCATGGTTTGACTGCTGCAGGGAACATCACAGGTTCCAAGTTTTATTAACGAGGAAAACAATATGTACTGTCAACGTTTGCTACGTGAAGTTAACATGAAAATAAAGCCCACTCCAGAGAACTAATTAAATTTACCGGATTAGTTTCTTGTTCCAGCTCTCCTGATAAATAGCACTGAACTCAACACCACATTGATTAGTTGGTTCAAGACAAACACTGATCAGATTGCCTTGGCAAGTATATATAGCACTACAAAAGTACAATCATCCATGTCTATTCAGAGTAACAAGGATTCACTATTCTTTCATTTCCCCTCCCTTTATCTTTCCCAGCCTAGACAGCATGTCTACACTGTTTAATACCAGCACTATTTAAATACCCTATCTTAAATGCTTTCCCTGCCTCCTTCTCCTGCATTCCACCAGTAGACACACTCAAGCCCCTGCTGTAGAGTAACAGAACCAAACTGCCAGTGCTGCAGAGCCTCAGAGGGCCCTGTGTTTCAGCACAAGCTGACCCAGGTCATGGTTTTCTCCTAAACGTGCAGAAGGGTTTTTCCTTTATCTCATCTGCTACCTCAAACCTAGCTCTGTGCAAGAAACCGCTTTGGAGAGACACGCTGAAGTAAGCGGCCTGTCACGTTACACAGAGAATGGGTGGCGAGTCACAGAAAATAGAAAGGGGACCCTGGTAAGAGTCAGAAAGGCTAAAAAACACAGTACTTTATCACTGCTACGTGTCTGTCTTCTTCACTTTGTTTCTGATCATCTCAAAAGACAGTAGAGAAAAAGGATCTTACACCACTTCACTCTGCTTTTTCACAAAGCACAACTCTTTAGCAACTTGCTTTAGAAGTAGTTTTATCTCCTTTATACTATGTCCTCTCATTTTAAACAAGGTATTTTTGCAGTCACAAATTCTGAGATATTCAGAAAATTCTGATTTCAGTGATTCTCCCAAGCTTTCTTTCCCTCCTTGGATCTATCTTTTGTTTCAGCTAAATTATTGCTAAGAGAAGAAAAATCTGCCCTAATAACTCATGCCTGACCCAATTACTCAGCTTTGTTTTCCTTCCTTCTGCTGTATTACAATGCAGTCAGCACCAAAACCAAATAGATCAAACTAGGATATACACAAAGACTCATCTTTTCCTTTTTAAATCTGATCCATGGCTTTACAAACAACTTTCTTGTTCTACCCGGGGACGTAACTGTTCTGACAGACACCAACACCATACTGGTCTACCAGAACCACCACTTCACAGAGCAGCGGGGAAGTCAGCTCCGTGCTGTGTACCTTCTCTTTATACCACACTGACCACATCCTTCCAGAACTGGTGTGTGCCTAAGATGTTCACAGACAACAGTTAATTCTGCTATCTGTATAACACACCATTTAACTTAAGCCTGAATTCTATTTATTACTCTTTTCTTAGAAAATATTACACTACCAAGGTTCACCTTTAAGTCACTTGCTTTATCATGTTCTCTTTTAGAAAATGATGGGGTGTTGCTTACTAATCTGTTGTTTTGGTAGGCGTGTTAGGGAGCTAAGAAGTATTGTTTTAGTTAGGCCTTGCAGCAGATGAGCAGCAGAATACGGGCTCCTTGCTTAAATGCAAGCTATGACTCATCCTGGGCAGAGAGAAACTGAAACACATACCCATTAAATAAAAAAACACAAACAATCTTCCAACATGAGGATTAATGACAGATAACAACTATAAATTAACTTTAATCTTATATAAATCAAACAAAGCCCCTTATATGAATGTCACTGCAATCTCTTCAGATAAAAAGACCAAATCAAAGCAGAAAGAGAAGTCACTTAAATATTATGGTTAATACTCGGTACCAAATCAAGCAGCTCCTTAGCAGAACCACTGGAGCGTTCATGAAATATTTCAAGACTTAAAGGAGTGGAGCCTAAAATACTGCTTTAATTTTTAATATATTTTTAGTTGCTTTTTGACAAAGGGATACACGGTTCTTAATCCTGATACACTGAAACATCATCAGCTCTGCAATACTGAGTCCAAGTTGAACTGTGTATTCAAAAAAGGAGGACGGCATTTTGTTTTTCTAGTATTCTCTTGCTACTGCTTGGAAAAAAAACTTTAATTGTTGAATGGGTTAAAATTTAACTGAACATAAGAAGGCTGCTGTTCACAAACAAGAGGGGAAAAACCAGAGTCAGAGACCTAATAGTGGACAATTTTGAAAATTATAGTGTGTGTCAATAATGGAGATAACAGTGAGATTCAAAAGGAATAATCTCAAATAATAGGGAAAATGAGCACCTGCCAGCCACAAAGCCATTAGTATGAGGGTTTTTATCTTTGCAACAGTTAAGTCTGGAGACACTGACAAACAACAACACAGCAAATAAAACATGGTGAAAATCTAACTGGGAAGCAATACACTTCATTCAGAAAACACTGCTGTGGAGGTTGAAACTAAATGCTTCCAGTATGAAATTCACCGTCCAAATTGCCAGTAACACACACTGCAAACCCAGCACAAGCCACTACATGGCCTGATCAGGCCACAGCACCTGCATTAAGGGACAGACTATCCCAAACCAGACGCAGCGAGATCCCAGATAGAGGCGTTTGCCTGTACAACCACCCAAAGTGAACAAATACGCGCCCTTCCCAGAAGGGTGAAAACAAAGGGCTTGTAAAACCATGTCTGAGGCACAGACCTGAAATACAGTGCCTCAGGAATGGGAAGCCCTGGAGAAAAACCCTTGCTGACAAGACAGGTGGCTAGGAGTCTTCAGCCTGGTGCAGGCGGGGACTAGGGAGCATAACTGAGACGGAAGGAGATGAAGAGAGAGAGGGATGATACTACACCTTCTGGGAATGGGAAGACAAATTCTGTAGCAAACAAACAGCTTGTCAACATTCAGAAAAAGGTGGCATAAGGAGAAGCACAGGTAACAATACTGCTCTCACTAGTATATATATACACCAAAGCACTGGACAGTGGTCAATCCTCAGATATCCCCACCCCAGGCAGTATTACTGTCCTCAGTGAAAGACTGGGAAGCAAGGCAGAATCTGCCTCAGCTCAAACAGAGAGCTGGTATCAGCATCACTATTCACCAGCTCTTGGCTGGACAATAAGCACGTAACACTAGCTGCTGAGCTCTTACCAACAGAGACTTTGAAGCTTCACTGCCTGACCCACAAGCCTGAGGGTAGAGAAAGATGGTCACGTATCCATGCAAACTTGGCCTAAGTGACAGCACCAGGTTGGTCCAGGGAAAGATGGAGAGAGCTCTGCCCTAAAGCTGTACTGATGGCAAGCAGCATTTGCAGTAACAATTAGATATGCAAATAAGCACACTGAAAATTAGTGACGGTTTACTGTTGTCATGGAGAAAAAAAGCACCTTCCATTCTGGGTCAGACCCAAGCGCTGCATTTTCTTTCCCTCACTGGTAAATAAAACTGTAGAGGGAACTGGAAAACCCAGAAGCCAACACTTCTCAACAAGGCTCTACCTGGGACTAGAAAGGTTGAGACTTGGGGCAGGGAATGGAGACAGGACAGCAGCATAGCCCAAATAAAAAAGCCTCCTTGCATCACCCCGGAAAGGCAGGAGCAGGACAATTCTGTAGACCCTCAAAGCTACCAGGAAGTAGAAGCACAGCCTGGAAGAAAAACATCCACACCATGCACAGGCCAAGCTGCTTTCCAGCACTGCTGCTGCTGAAGGTGGGGGACATGGAGGGAAACATAATGCATGAGGTACCCAGCTTCCACTCCCCTGAAGCTACATGGTAAGATCTCCTCTGGATGGGAATTGGCTCAAAGCCTGTGTCTTCGGCCATTCTTACAGTGCTCCAATCCCTTGTTAAATGATGGCTGCTAAGAGGGAAGAGGAGGCAATCAACCTATTTAGACTCAGCTTTCCCACCCTGGGGGTTTCTTCATAGGAGCAGTTGGCCAGCACACTGCCTTTGTTCCAGCAGCCACAAAAAACACAGGCAGCCCCCCCTCAGCCCTCCTAAAAATCCCACAGAAAAGCCAAGATAAGTTTATAATGGAAACCTGGACACAACCTTAGCTATAGCATCCTGAATGGAACACGATAATCTGATCTGTGTGTGAACTAGCTCCCCTTGTCTCAACAGTATTTATCTTACTTTAACTCCTGTTACAAAAGGATTGAGTCATGTAGCAGAGCTAGCCAAGAAACAAAACTGCAAGGCTTGCTAAAACTTCAGATTCAAGGATAAACAGGCACAGTCCTGAAGCAGGTTAGAAGAGGCTCTACAGGAGCGCTGGTAGCCAGTCCTCCGAGGCTCCAGACAATGGCATCTCCTTCTGCGCCGCAGAGATTGTCCCAGCCCAGCGGCAGTGGGATGGAGAGGGTGCAGAGCACAGGGCTCTGCCCTTCTGATCGTGGTGACACGTTTTACCCAGGGCCCAAGAAACCTGATCCCGTAGCAACCTCGGGTATGGAAAGTGCCCCAATCAGATTTCACTGTGTCAGGAGAAGAACGGTATTTACTCTGCATACAGATTAGTCACAAAACTGGGTCACTTCTTGCCTTTTCAGAGAGAAAAAAAAAAACCCCAACCAAAACCAGCTTCTTTTTCAGATCTTTGTGTGCCTTCCCCCCTGACCTTTAAAACTACGTGCTGCACGGTCATTCACAGCTGTCTAAGCTGATCAAACGGCACCTGCATATGTAAGGTTAAAGCACATTACACTCACCAGGCTTGCGTTTCTTAGAATTCAGCTCATTAGCTACTTACCGGTTCTTTTCTAGTTCGTTGTGCGTAGACCTGGAAGATAAACAAAAACTTGGATTAGCCACCTTCGACCTCTCAGCACCAAAGTTCAGTCGCTGCAAGACATACACATCCCCACGGCGTATCGCACATGCAAGGCTGGTACTCTCACTGGTGCTACAGAAATCGTTCCCTAGAGAATTAAACGCACACAACATCCTAAAGAGGGGCAATGACTGGAACAGGGGACCAGCATCAGCCATTTCCAGACTACTCCTGGTCTGCCACCAACTCAGCACAGGGCTGAAATTACATTTCTTTGTGTGTTTCTCCACCCACCCTGTAACAGCATTGGTACCATCTGCTAGCACTGGAACTCATGGAGTATTAATTTATGCACATCAAATAAATGGGAACCTGCCAGCAGAACTGGCTCCATGAGGACAACCCCTGGAGCCCTTCAGCCACCTCATGCTAGACTTGGCAAACTTAGTAGAACTCCAGCTATGGCCAGCATTTGGGCAGGAAACGGGATGGCCAGTGCTGCCATGTTTGCAAACATCAGCGGTGCTGAGCAGCAATTTCAGGATGCCTGGAAACCCCTCAGGGGCCTGAAACAGCACTGCCACAGCACTAGCTTGCAGCAAAGCAAGTGACCCATGAAGTGGCACACTGACCACTTGACAAAGGAGGGAGCTTTGTCTTTATACCTGCCTGCCACGCCAAGCACGCTGCCAGCGCTCCCTAATTTAGAGCTCGCAGCTTGAAAGTGAGACCGGCCAGAAACAAAAGGGAACAGGCAAGTTCATTCTCCTTGTCGCTGTGATGACAGCATGAATGGCAAAAAAAGCTTAAATCCTTTCTGGATTTCTAATCTACCAATGTTATTAGTAACCCAGGTAAGGTTGTTAAGGATTATTTAAAAATGATAGCCATTTATCCAACATTTCTCTTTAGCAGAAGGTCACCTTAAAATAAGAGTAAAAGGAGCCCAAGAGCTTAATAAAAAGGATCTATTTTCTGTAATTTGGCATCACATTTCTTCCGGAGCTCTGAGAAGATTATCCTCTATCCCCCCATCTGGAGAATCCCACAGAGAATTCTACAATTAGGGAACTGAATGGAGGATGTGCTCCAAGGGAAACCCTGTCATAATTAAATGCTTTTCCAAAAGAAGGGAGGAGGAGCACTTCACAGGTGTTAGAACCTCACTGAGGATGACGAATAAACCACGGATGCCTGCAAAAAAACAAGGTAAATGTGTCACAGCTAGCCGTGACCAAGAGATGCGGATGGCCCGAGGAAAAACAAAACTTTACCCTCCGTCTCTGCAACGTACCCTGTGCAGTGGGAGATGGAGTACCCTAAAGGCAAGGCACCCTGTTGTCAAACTCCTGAAGTGGAGGAAACACGCAAAGCAAATCCTTCCCTCCCAAAAAGAGAGGATCTCCTAAGTCTGGCTCCCAGGAATCAAAGACATTAATATAATATTTAGTTCAGAAAATGTCCCAAATCAAACCCACATCCCCCACGGAGTGTAAACCAGCAAAATCCGTTTGTCCAGGCAACCTGGATGCAAATTAACCCTCCAGGGTTGAGCTGAGGCCCTTTAAAACCACTGCCCGCATGCTCTTTGGAACATGCTATTGTTCTTATTTACTGTATGTTCCTGCAGGAGACTTTGCACTCTTCCTGGCTACGACATCAGCAGTTATAAAGCTAGAGATACGCAATGCCTTGAATTCCTATATTATATTGAGCCAATTATCATGGCCAGCACTGAAAGAACAAAGTTTGGCCCACTGCTGTGAACAAAATTAAAACAGCAGGTTCTCCCTACTCCTCTCACACAGGAGACTCTTTATTACCTATCTGCCTTCTGATGAACAAGACAACTGAGAGGGGTCACAGGCTTTTCACCAAGTCAGGGAATTTATGCTGTGGCTTTTAACCGTATCGGTGGCAAGGAAAAAAACAAACCCCAACCCACTCCCCCAACACTTTCCCACTGAAGCTGAATACAACAGAAAGAATCTCAGCAATGTTGAGTGTATCCTATGGGGAGGTGACTTCTCTTACCTGCCTACACTTTGCTTAGTCTTACTGGGGACATTTACAAAAGTTTTAATGTTTCCTTTTACCCAAGTTCAGGGGGAAAAAAACCCTCAGCCTAGCACTGTTCCCCATTACCACCATTCGCTACCTCTTATTTTCTATGCCAGTTTCTTTTTGCTTGGACAACCGATACAGAAAAGAGCCCCTCTCTGTTCTGTTCATAATTCATTTCATTTTCTGTAGCTCCTGATGTAGAGATTAATTTCCTCCCCTCATCTTTGGGCTGCACATGTTGCTAAGATTTATCTGGAGTTAAACAAGGACAGTGCTGTCAGTGAAGTGGATAAAAAGTACAGGAAGCTCTATTGATAATACATTCAGAAAAAAAGGCCTTTTCAACAGGTACAGAAACAAATGTAACTGGACCTCTTTAACCGAGCTAGTCTTACCAACTGAGAACCTAGAGAGTATCACCAGCCTGAAATCAAAGCTCCTCCCTTGCACACCAACGCCAGCGTTTTGATGGGCACAGGCTGCCCACCACAGCTGTGGAGGACGGCAGCACTGGGGGATCGCTGCGGGGTTCCGTGGAACACGGCGCTTACGACAGCAAGGAACCGGTGCGTTCAGCGTGAGGTTGCCTTGCTGCTGCCGATAATCAGTCACAGCCTGTGTCACCCAGGGAAATAAGGACACTGTGTTGAGCATGGACCGCACACAAGAGGAGCTCACGTCCCCGCTGTCAGGCAGTCAGGGCAAGCAGGACCTCCTCCCACTCACAAAGCTGCAGCCACAGCCATGCGGGCACGGACACGTTTGGAGGAAAACAAAAGCCCAAGCACCCACACTAGCACTGCTCAAAACCTCAGCTGCAATGGAAAAGTGGCTTGAGCACAACCCGTCTGCAGGGTTCTCATCTAAAAGTCAGGTTTCTAGAGCAGTCTGCTCTTTAAGAATAAATTTAACACACCCAAACTGATAACCATCCCTAAAAACTGAAGGAATGTTATACAAAGAGGAGGATTCTGCCAACTGCGTTTTGCAAACAGCTTGGGAGAAGAGCAAGGAAGAGTACTAAAAGCTTAAGGTGAAGGAGCCAAGCAAACAACAACAAACCAGCACGGCACTCCCCATCAGGATTTTAAACAACAAGCTGAACGAGAAGAAACTGAAGTTTATCCCTCTTTACCCCAGACACCTGAAACCACGTACAAAGTGGGAAGAAACAGGGAAGCAGCAATTGTCAGCCACTCTAAGGTCAGATTCAACAACTTTTTTGCACCAGCTACTGTGATTCTGCCTGCAACCTTCCCATCCAACACTGTGAAACATTATGCTAGGCTGGATTCCCCCCGTGAATGAGACATTGTAAATAATACATCACTTTATCCCCTTTTCTTTATTTAAATAAAATCTCTCCTACCATGGTAGAAGCAGCCAAACTTTCCCTGAGCACAGGTAAGCCAACAAAACAAACTGCATCAGGGAGGAACAAGCTCTAAAGAGCACTGAATTCATTTGTCATTGGGTTTTTTACTGTAATCAAAATCACAAAGCTGCCACATGACATTAAACACAGCTGACCTTTCTGGTTTGCATATTTAATATTGATAAATAGCCCAACGAATGTATTTGCAGCATATCTGCATTTTGGTTTGACTCCTTACTGAGGTAACTTTTCTACTGGGAAAACACAGCAATTCAAAGTCCTTGTCTTGTGCAATACACAGATGGCATTTAGACCCAATGACCGTGCCATCTCTTGTACCCAGTCACCCTCCTGTCTGTAATCTGGCACCAGCTCCTGGCCACGGAGGAGCCCTGAACTCCAAGAGCTCCATCTCCATCACAACAGAGAGAGTGGTGGCTCAGGAGATGCTGCTGGATACAAGTACTTCCAGGTAAGGGGGGTTTGGGGAATAAAAACACGCCCTTAATGCCAACAAAGCCTTTATTTTTCCTCCATATTCACTCACCCCACTCTGCTTTAGCAAGTGATTAATCAGGAAATAATTATTCCATCGGCTTGTGCGAACTAAGGCACAGTTACCTGAATCACATTTACCAAAACAGCAACATCGATCCACAGACCAGGCCAAGCGCTTTCTCTTGCTTCACTCAGGTTCAGCTCTGCTGCTTATGCACCATAACACCCTACACCATCTCATTCTCCATTCTACAGACCTTCCCCACCTCCTGGCTCTGCTGACACACGCTCACTTGGCCACCAAGCTTCCTGCAGGAAATACTTTCTTCCACCCCCCAAGCCAAGACCACCCACCCGTGGTTCTGGAGACAGTGAGCTACACTGCTGCTCTCTTCCATGCACGTTATTCCTCAGACACAACTCCTGTTGCAAACAGCCAAATGACCAAACAAAACAAACAAAAAGGAAGGGCGATCAACAGCTTTTTTTTCCATTTTAGATCTACCTGCGTCCACAAAACCAAACCTAGTGGCTGAAGAACCCTGGTGTTTTGCCAGGGTTTCAAGCAGCAGTGGATCCACAACAAAAGCAATCTGTGAAGGCCACTGCACGAGCTGTAGGCTGGGAAGCCAACGGAGAAGCTCCACCAGCAGCGGCAGGTGAGGTGTTCAGCCAACATATGGCCAACGATAGCTGGCAAGAGTCAAATCTTCCTGCCCAAAGAGAGTTGCTCAAAGGTTGAGTTTAAGGAACCCACCTCACCTCTGGGATGCCCAGGAGCCTGGCTCTTGGAGGGTGCACAGGAGCCTTGGAATACAGCAGCTTATTGTACTCAACGCTGTCAGGAGCTCCTACAGTGAGGAGCAGGATGCTGCTCAGAGGAGACAGGATAGCTGGAACCAAAGTCCTTCAACTGCTGGCCTTATGCCCTTTGCAAGTACCAGACTCAAGTCCAATAAGAGCCTCCCCTCAGCCTTACATATCAGCAAATCCAGCTAAACGTTTCCTTCCAAGCAATACTAGAGACAAAAGTTACCATCTCAGTCATTACTACCTATGATCCCCCTACGCT